CGTGTGCTGGCGCACAGCTGGCGGCCCACAGAGTATTGGACGGACAGTGATCTCGTATTCTTGGGATTCGAGCGCCTGCTGGCCGGACTCCGGCCCTCCCCAGAGCATTGTGATCTCTGGGCCAACATTGCCACCGCTTATCATGCCAAAGGGGGTTCCGACCATTTCCGTGTACGCAAAGTGCGAGGCCACGACCAGAATTGGGAGGCGGAGGACCCAGACAACCCTACGGATGATGAGCGGCAGCGCATGCTGGAAGCCCTCATGAATGCAGGGGCCGACAGGCGTGCCGTCGCGGGCTCGGACCAGCACGCGCCCTGCGACGACCTGGTCCGCAGGGTGGCTGTCCGTGCCACCGTGACGCGTGCCGTTCAGCGGCGTGCTGTGGCCATTCTGGAGGCCCGCGGGCTGCTGCTGGAGGAGGCCGGCCGCACGCCCCACCAGCAGATGCAGTCGTGGCAGCAGGCCCAGGCAGGGGACCAGCCGCCGGCCGACCAGCAACCAGGAGCGGGGGAAGAGCGACCCCCACCTGGTGCTGGGGCTCCTGAGGCGCGGGCTGGTGCTGAGGCCGGCCTCGACGCTGGGGCTGGAGCTGGGGCTGGTGCTGGCCTCGACGCCGCCCTGCTGGAGCAACACCACTTCCTGGAGTATCCGTGGGAACCGATTCCCATTGTGGGGAACACGCGCCCAGACCTGACCGAGGCGCTCCCACCGCTGCTCAACAGGACTGCTCTGAAATCAGGTATCGGCATATGCACACATTGGCGATACCCTGATGCCATGCTTCTTTCTCTGCACTGGTACTGGTCCACGCTGCAGTTTCCTGTGTCACCGCAGCCCGGTGACGTCGGAGCCACCTTCCTAGAGCTGGCCCTGGACTACATGTACGCGACACATGTGGTTCCGCAGGAGGCGAATGCAGCAGGAGTCCCGAAGGCGCACCGGTTGCAGGAATACTTTGCGTCTGCCTCCCGCCGCCTGGCGCAGATCTGCCGCTCAACGCGCCTTCTTGCACGCCTCAAGCCAGGCGGCTGGAATGCCCCGTCGCGGAGGGTGCTGGCGGCGCGGCGTCTGGAGCTCCCAGACCTCCACGGAGTCCCAGTCCGCCCCCGATTGCTATGCCCACAGCATGTGGCTACGGCTATGCTGCATATTGCTCGGCTGAACGGCAGCAACCGCACCCAGCCCAAGCAGATGCCACAGGTCACCGTTGGCAGTCTCCCGTACCCCCTGTGGTCCCCTCCAGGATCCGACGGGCCGGCTGCCCAGCCACTGCAGGGCGAGGCGCGAGGCTCTGCGCCTGCCATGCCACGGCGCCGTGGCCCCAGCCAGGGAGCCACGTTCGCTGAGCTGCTCCAGGTTGCGTGGACACCTGAAGAGCAGCAGGCGATTGCAGTTGCAGTTGCAGCTGTGTCGGCGCAGGGCGATCGCTTCGGGCAGGCGATCCGCCGACAAAAGGAGCGGGAGATGAAACGCCTCTTGCACAACAGGACTGCGGTGGCTGAGCAGCGCCACGTTGTCCTGCCTCTCGGTGGCCGGCAGGGCCAGTGCCTCCGCTGCGAGCACTGCGACCGGACGGCCGTCGCCGACTCGTTCGCCTCTTTCCTGAGGGAGCGCTGTCTCGGCCGGGAGGCGCCTCAGACCAACCGCCAGGCCCAGATCCAGCGGGCCAAGCGGGAGGACCGCATCGAGACGCACAATCAGCAGGCGGAGGCCGAACAGAGACACCACCTCGGCCTCCAGCTCCATCAGGGCAAGGAGCTGCTGCAGTGCAGTCGGTGCAAAGAGTTCATGCCTATGGACGGCCGCGGTGCGTTCCCGGCCATGACTACTGAGAGCTGCATCCTCCTGCTGCCCGCGGCGGAGCAGCCAGCAGCCCTGGCACGGCGCCAGGCCAGATATGCCCAGATGCGTGCCCTCGGCGTCGAGCCGCTGGCCGCCGCTGCTCGGGCAGACTAATCATTTTCTATTCTCAGTCGGGTGCGTGCTCCTCTTGATCGGGTACGACACCTCCACCACAATGTTCAGTATGTGTGCCTGGGGCTGCTCTGATATCCGGGTCCTGGACGCTGCAAGTCTCGACGGCCCAGAGGCCGACAAAGGGCCCCACACTCGCCGAAATCGAAGGCAAGCGCCTGGACCGAGAAGATCACACCGCACTCGGCCCTCAGGGGGCCGTTCGAGACGGCTCCTGCACCCCGAGGCGCCCGCGAAGAGGCGCAGCTGATGGAGACAGCCCTGGGCCCCGAAGACCTTCGAAAACCTCCGGGCCTCGACAAGAGAGCACACGCAGGGGGATGAGGAGGGAACAGGGAGGAGGAGGAGGAGGAGGAGGAGGAGGAGGAAGAGGAGGAGGAGGAGGAGGACAAAAAAGAGATGGGGGGGTGGGGGCGATCAGCGCGGGCCCCTGGCAGCCGGACGCCTCCCTGGCCCGCCGATGCTGGACGAATGGGCCTGCCTCCACAGAGGCAGGTCCGAGCAGCGAAGGGTGACGAGCACAGGGGTCAGCCGCACCAGAGTTACGGTGGGGGCGTTGGATAAGGAATTTGTTATAAGGCAGCAGAGAGGACCACTTCGTGAAAAATATTCACCTGCTCGTGATAAGTACGTATATTACACTCGAGAGCTGACAGGTCACTAGTGCCTCGCTGTCACGCCGCAGAGCGTGATCCCGCCATGGGTAGCATGCAGTCCCCCTGATGAGAACTGAGAACGGGGCTCCGAAACTCGAAAGAAAGTCACCCCCTCGTTGGATAAGGAAACCTTCGATAAGGAATCCAGGGTCTGGAAGCCCGTGGAGCTCCAATCGTGGATCGGCCATGGATATCACCGCCGCCCTCATCAGATAAGGACCCCTCCAGGGTCTGAGGCCTCCTGGGCACGTTCCTCAACAAACGCCCCCGCCGTGGCCACGCGGCCGGGACTCAGTGCTCGTCCTTCTGGCACCAGGATCACCAGCATCACAACCGACAAGCCCAATACATCCTCGCTTGCCGTGCGGCTTGCAGTGTGACGCCTCCCCCTCGGATCGATCTGTGAGGGTCCTGGGGCCAGAAACTGGGCGAAAACACCAACTGTGGAAAATCACCACGCCCAGATCTGACGTGGACCCCCACCCCAGAGACTTGGAACTCTCCTGGCTTTTCGTCCTGAGTCGCTTTTGTTGCGGCCCCAGGGCCCAGCGAGGGGCGACAAAAAAGACCCCCCGATCGTGCTTACAGTCGAGGTACTACCAGAGGGAAGGCCAAATTGGGAACGGAGCCCCTCTTTGGCCCCGCAAGCGCCTAGGTGCACGGGGAGGGCTAGATGAACAGCCATGGAAGAGCTCACAGCAGAAGCTCGACCACGAGAAACCTTCCACAAAAAACCCAAGAAACGACCCAGGGCACCCTGGAGGCACGCAGGGTGTTTCTTGGCATGGGTCTCCACCGCAAGGAAAAGCGAGCCCCTTCTGAACTCAGAGTGGTCCTCATCTCAGCGACGTGGCTGCAGTTCGTGACCCGCGGAGGGGCTGGGCTCCCCGCTCCTGCCGCCACGCCCCCCCCACCGACGAGGCACCGCCGCGCCGCCAGTCGCGCGAGTGCGGGCGCGCACGCGCGAGGAGGGCGACGAAGGCGGAAGCAGCGGCGGCGACGGCGACGAAAGCGGCGACCACGGACGCCGGCCCAAGACGCAGAGGAGGAGGAGGAGGAGGACGCGGAGGAGGAGGACGCGGAGGAGGAGGACGCGGAGGAGGAGGAGGAGGAGGAGGAGGAGGAGGAGGAGGAGGAGGAGGAGGAGACGCAGGAGGAGGAGGAGGAGGAGGAGGAGGAGGAGGAGGCAGAGGAGGAGGAGGAGGAGGAGGAGGAGACTACGGATGATGATGATGATGATGATGATGATGATGATGATGATGATGATGATGATGATGATGATGATGATGATGATGATGATCTTATTTCATTCATTGTGCCAGGGACGCTATTTGCTGCCAGGGGGCGAGGGCGACTGTCTCGCCAGCAGACGGGCGCGTGAGACAGACTCGAGAGACCAGAGAGGCGAGAGAGGGGGGGGAGGGAGGGAGACTTGAGCCGAGGCGGTTGCGGCACAGAGCATTGCAACGATCAAAGCACTACAAGCAGTTATATGATCTTATTTCATTCATTGTGCCAGGGACGCTATTTGCTGCCAGGGGGCGAGGGCGACTGTCTCGCCAGCAGACGGGCGCGTGAGACAGACTGGGCAGCAGCCAAACTCGAGAGACCAGTACTTGGCATACCTGCAGACCCTGGCCCACGGCCGACAACATTATCAAACATTTACCGACGCAAGCTTACTGAGCCTCGCGTCGCGGAGGTTCGTCGCACTATTAACGAGCCAATCCGCACCCCACTGGGAAAACTCACGAGGGTATCTGTTCACGCTGAGAGCCCATGGGCGGCCAAGGGGATCGAGCGCCGTCAATCTGACGTGAAACTTGTTGTTGCCAGTGCACCTTCCACCGCGACCGTCACACAGAGGACGCGCGCTCAGTCGCGGAAAATCTGCGCCCCACGCCCACAGCTTAGTCGGGCGGGGGTGCAAGCCTCCGTACTGACAGAAGTTTAATTCGGCAGACTGCGAGGCTAGCGAGCACGCGTGCCTGAAAGAAGCGAGCGACGGCTGGGCCGAGCAGAGAGGGCATTCAGCTATAACAGGGACCCTTAATCGATGGCTCTCGAGGATCATGGTGGCGAGCGAACCCCAGAAGCCCCGAGAGCGGGAGGAGGGGGGCCCAGGACCCGAGGAAGGAGCGGCCCACACCCCCAGGACCAGGGACCCCCGAAGCCACCCCAAGATCCTCTGGCGCACCGCGGGTCGAGACCAGTCAAGACCAGGATGCTTGTTGGGATCGAAACAGATGGCGGCGAATCCCCGAGCTCGCCAGCGCCGAACAATCGGCCACGAGGCGCTTCCAATCCCAATGAAAACCGAGCGAGGAAAAACGCAGGCAGCAGCAAGAGCTGCCGACAGCTGGCGCGTCAGATAGCCGTCCACCTGCTCGTCGGTGATGGTTTCACCTGGCCACGAGACGAGACGGCCCGCCTCGCGGGCACCGGCCACGGGAAAGGCGACCCCAGCGCTGCCGCCTCGATCAGCATGACGAGGTGCGCGTCCACGCGCTGGCCGAACTCCATCACGTTGTCGGGCAGGTTGTTGATCTGCTGCTGGAGCTTGGTCCTCTTCGCGTAGCGGCGCAGTGAGGAGTCTGTGATCCACCTCCCGCGGTCCTTCACCTCGGGAAGGGAACGCCGCGCGGCCAGCAAGTCGTCGCTGGCCGCGCTGTGGCGCAGCACGTACAGAGAGGGCTGCGCCTCCAGCCCCAGCAGCTCGGCCGCCTGGTTGAAGGCGTCGCGGACCTCCGCGACGTCGAAGTCCCACAGCGCCGCGCCGCCAGGACGGGCGAGCTTGAGGGCCGCCCAGAGCGGCCACCAGTCCGTCTGATCCAGGGCCACGCTCTCGTCGGTGATCCCTGTCTTCCCAGGCCGCCCGTCCTCGCTCGGGTTGAGCACCAACCCCCACTCGCCGTAGCCCTTGCCTGCCAGCGGGTTCGGCGCCACCAGCGAATCGCCTCGAAGGCGAAAGGCCTCCGAGGGGCGGAGGTACGCCGCGAAGGAGAGAAGCACGAACATCGCGAAGGGCAGCTGGCCGAGCGAGATCATCGCGCCCACGATCGCCATCACGGCAGGCCGAGGGATCGGCAGCCGCATGCAGGGCGGCTTCAGCTTCTCCCAGCCGTCCAGCGCCCTGCACGCCCTCGGCAGCGCGGCGCGGGGGGGGCCCAGCGCTGGCAGCAGGTGTCGCAACGCCGACAGCGTTATCCGCCCCGTCGCCGTGTCGAAGCCGTCTAAGGCCAGGTGCGCCAGGAAGGCCGTCAAGATCACGTCGAGCTCCGACGACGTAGTCCAGGACAGGCCCATCCACAGGCACCAGGTGACCAGCCTCTGGGCGTGCGCCGAGTAGCTCTTGGCGGTGGCGTCGGTGAGCGCCGCCGCCTCCAGGAAGCTCAGGCGGCCGCACTTCAGCTCCGTCAGGGACGCCTGCGGGGCGAGCCTCTGGCGCGCCAGCGTCATGGCGCGGGGGGGGCGCCTCCCGCGCCGAGGCCCGCGCGGCGCCGTCTCCACGTGGACGATCGCCCTGCCAGTGCGGCCCGACAAAGAAGCCCGACCTCGACGGGGCATCTGACGGGTTGAACTCCGACGGCACCCAGCGCACGTACGCCCTGCAGCCCGTGGCGAGCAGCAGAGAGGTGATGCGGCGAAGAGGCCTGGTCAAATTTGCCGTCCGACCGCGGCCCTTGCCGGCGCTGAGAGCCAGAGCCAAATTGTCAACGAAGAGGAGGAGGCGGCGCCCCTGCAAGGGCCCCGAGCGCAGGAGGTGGCGGAGGGCGAACTCCAGAGCGCCCCCCTCAGACTCCAAAATGTTCTTCCCCTTCGCGCGGACCCTGCTCGAGTGAACCACCTTCCAGTCGGTCTCCCTCAGGATCTCCTCGGGGACCTCCGTGAAGCCAGGGGGCCCCGCCCCGACGTCCAGGGCGTTCTCAAAGTTGGCGACGTCGTCCAGGCCCCGAAAACGCAGGAAAAGATGCCCAGGCGAATTTCCAGAATTTGCCGGGGCATCCTTTTGCACCTTTTTCTCCGGTCGAAGTAGGCCCTCCTGACTTGATGAAGCCTCGTGAGCGTCTCCCAGAACGTGACCGGAAGGGCGCTGGACAGCAGAACTGGGGACCTCGGGCGAACCTGAAAGGGCATGTTGTCGAGCGGCTATGGCGTCATAGAACCTGTACCTGACCTTCTCGGCGAGACGACCGATCTCGGCGACGACGGGGACGGGCAGCGTGCGCCGACAGACCCCAATGCCATACCCCGACGAGTCAGACGCGGTGACATCGGGCGCCCACGGCAACCGCCAAGACGTGGCCCACAGAGGCAATGTAGATTGGACCCACTGAAGCTCCCTGAGGACCCCGTCCCAGATCTTAGTCGGCTCCGGCGAACGACTCCGCGAGAAAGCGAAAGTGGCCGACAGCATTGACAAGGTCTCCCGCCTGCTCAGCATGGCCCAAGTGATGTGACCGACTAAGGATGAGAGGGCACGGGGCGAAATCTTTCCGTGGCGCAGAACCGATCGAATTCCAAGCCGCAGGCGAGCAAGGCGGGCACACGGGACCCTCATGGTCCCCTTGATGCCGTCGAACTCCAGGCCTGTGAAGATCATGGATGCACGAGCACCCTGGACCTCGTGCACGGGCAAGTGATGACGAGACACAGCCTCTGAGATGCGCTGCAGCACGCGGTCAGCTAGCTCACGCGAGCCCGCGACCACGCAGAAGTTGTCGACATAGGCAGCCACGGCCCAGTCGTCAGTGCGCTGCAGCACGGTCGGCGGGGCCCCGTCGACGATGAAGCGATGGCCCTCCACGGCCGCGTCTCGAACGATGATGTTGGTCAGAGCATCCTGGCAGAAATGCAAGGCCCAGTTCCAGCCCATGGGCATCACCAAAATCTCAGGCACCACGTCGATGTCCAGCCCCATGCCGTCCAAACGCAGAACCCGATTCGTGACACACGGAAGGGTGAAAGCGCGGGCCAGCTCCGAAGGCAGCTTCATGTGGTAAAAGGCGCACTGGATGTCCGCTGCCGCCATATAGCCGCTGACCTCGGGGCTGATCTCCATGCCTGCCCAGGCCGCTGAAGTAGGCAACTTGGTCCCAGCAGGCTCCACGAATGAAAGGTTAGCAATGCGAGTGTCGAACACCATTCTCAGGCTCCCGTCCTTTTTGGTGACGAAGAACACGCCCACTGAAGGCTGCTCCCGTTGCCGTCGAGGACGAAAGCGCAGCATCCCAGCCGCATCCAGTCGACGAAGAAAGTCGGCGTAGCGGTCGGGGCAGCTCAAAAGGAGAGGGTCGACGTAAGGCTTGACCAGTCCAGACTCCTTGCGCCTGGCGTCTGCCTCGGACTCGGAGACAAGCATACTCGTCCTCCATGACTCTAGCCGATGCAAAGCGGCCTCGCTGCAGATATCGCCCAAAGGAGTGGGGGTCGTACCTGCGGCGGGCCAGGACACAGAGTCCTTGGCGTAGGGTCGCACCACGGTATCGTCTTCGCAATAACCAGGTGTATGTCGGAGCAGCTCTTCGAGGGCGGCATCCGAGGTGGCCTTGTCGACAGGCATGTCAGCAGGCCACGAAAACGATTGAAATGAATCGGCAATGTGCTCCAGCGCCAGCCTCTGCGGTAAGTTAGCTGCACCATCGGGCGCCGAAACCTCGCGTCCACAACTGCGCTGGCCGTTGAGGTCGTTGAGGCTATCTATGCACTCGTTGGCCCAGACTCGCCAGGCAGCACCGCGATCACAACGTTGACGGGCACGACGAGAAACACAAAACTCCCGACGGGCGTCGACAGCGAGCCGAGGTAGGGGAAAGATATTGCGCTGGCGCTCGTCGGACGAGACCGCCATCGCGAAGCTGTGCAGCTCCTGGCCCGGGAAGTCCCAGCAGCCTCTGACGAGGGGCCTGCCACTGGAACGCGAAGCGCCGTGGGCTATTGACGCAACGCCCGCTCCTCGCGGGCCTTCCTGCGTTCTTTAGCCACCGCAGCCTCGGCTTTCAACTCGTCTGCAATCCACGTGCTGAGGAGAGGGCACACGCAAACGTTGCCGCGGCTCTCCTGCGCGCCGAGGAACAGGTTGTTCTCGACGCGATCGTCCAGCACGTTGCTCTTGTCCTTGTCCTTCTTGTCGTTACCCTTCGGTTTGAACGTCTGCTCAACCACCTTCTCTTCCAGGAGTTGGAGGCGACGTGCAGTCATCTCCAGATGCGAGAGCTCACCCACGTTGACCTGGTCATAGCACACCGCCAGCTCCAGGATGCGGCAAAGGAGGGCGTGCTCGCGCGTGATCGGGTCGTCCTCCGACATACGCCACTCCGACATCCACTTGGTGTGCCAAGCTGTCGGGGTCCCCGCCTGTCGCTGGATGTGGGCACACACCCAGGCGGCAGTCCTCGGACCACGCACAGGCCAATCCCTCCAGTTCGTCGATGAGTGGAGCATCGTTCCCTCACGGAAGTCCCTCCAGCGGTCGCCGCGGACGTCGATGCTCACGGCGTTGACGCGCAGGTCGGCTGGGGCAGCAGCCGCCGCAGGCGGGGCCGCCGCTGGCACCGCGAGCGCGCCCCCAGCCGCAGCCGCGGCGGGCACCGCGCCCGGCGCCGCAGCGGCCGGCGGCGCGGCCGCGGCCGCGGCGGCGGGCGGGGCCGGCAGTGCAGGGGCCCCAGGCGCGGCGGCGGGCGCGGCGCCCGCGCCCGCCAGGGCAGCCACCAGGCCAGGCATCGCGACGCCCCCTCCCGGCGCTGCTGCCGCAGCGCCTGCGCCTCCAGCGGCCGCCAGCGCCTCTGCAGGGGCCCCCGCGGCAGGCCCGCCAGGTGCGCCAGGCACCGCCGCGGGCTGCGGCGCAGGGTCAGCAACCACGTGATTGCCCACCGCGAGGCCGCCCACGTTGCCAGCGGCCAAGGGCATGTTGGCGGGCGACGCGGGGCGGCCGCCTCCGAAAAGCGCGGCCGCCTCCATGATGCCAGCCCACACGTCGGCGTCGGACGGCAGCGCTCTGAAGCCGTACACGCGAAGCCCAGCTGGCCTCTCGCCCTGCCCTGCTATCATGATGATGCCCGCGATGTCGGCATCTGGAGTGCCACTCTCTTCATATCGATCACCGTCCGGCGTGATGACGTATACTGTCGTCCCAGGCCCGCGCCACACAATGAGCCGCTCATGCCACACGTGCGCGCCAGGCACTCGATATCTGACGAGCGCCCAATGCAACTGGTGAGCCATACTCACGCAGTAGAGGCCTTCTTATCTCTGACGGCCCTCGCCTGGGCGCGGGCCGTTTCCTCGAAGCTGGCAGCAGGCGCCTCGGCGGCGGGGCTGCTCTCCGCCCTGCGGGCAAGCAGCGCGCCTCCTGCGGCACCGACGGCCAGGCCGACGGTCAGCGCGGCCGCCGCGTAGGCCGCGATGAGCCCCCCGCACGAGGGCTCGGGCACCTGGCCGCCAGCGCCCGCGCAGACACAGGCGGGGATGGCGGGGCAGGTGAGCTGCGGCGCGCAGGCCCCGCAACTCGGCGCGGCAGCGCGTGCCACCACGGAAGCTCCCACAGCCTGAGCCCCGTATCGCAGAATGTCTGAAAAAGATGCGACGATGTCTTGCATGGGAGCCACACAAATTAAGACTTGAGCCGAGGCGGTTGCGGCACAGAGCATTGCAACGATCAAAGCACTACAAGCAGTTATATGATGATGATGATGATGATGATGATGATGATGATGATGATGATGATGATGATGATGATGATGATGATGAGATGATGATGATGATGAGGATGAGGAGGAGGAGGAGGAGGAGGAGGAGGAGGAGGAGGAGACCACACGGAGGAGGAGGAGGAGGAGGAGAGGAGGAGCGGGGGAGGAGGAGGACGGAGGAGGAGACCACGGAGGAGGAGGAGGAGGGAGGAGGAGGAGAGGAGGAGAAGAGGAGGAGAAGAGGAGGAGAGGAGGAGGAAGAGAGGAGGAGGAGGAGGGAGGAAGGAGGAGGAGAGGAGAAGGAGGAGGAGGAGGAGGAGGAGGAGGAGCGATCCTGCCGACGCGGCGCCGACGACCGCGGCGGCCGCGAGCGCCGTGGCCGCCGCCGACGGCTCCGCGGCGACGCCGCCGCCCGCTGGGGCGCCGCGCGCGGGCGCCGCCGCTGCGGGCAGCCAGGCCGCGGCTGCGCCGCCGCCGCCTCGTCGGGGAGGACCTTTTCTGTGGCGGCCCCGTGCGCGGGGGCCCCTCGAGGGCCGCTCCTGGGCAGGGAGGGCTGGGGCTGTCGCCCCGTTCGCCCCTGCCCCTCCCTCTGTGCCTTCCCACCCCGCCCTTCCCTCCCTGTGCCCCCTCCGTCTCGTTCCTCCCTCCCCAGCCGCCCCTCGCCCCTGGCCCTCCCTCCTTGCCCTTCACCCCCCCCTCGCCATTCCCTCCCGCTGCCCCCTCCATCCCGTTCCTCCCTCACCAGCCGCCCCTCTCACCGTGGGGTGGGGAGGGGCGGGCTGAACGAGGGAGCAAGAGGGAGCCCCAGGCGATCCGCGCCAACCTCTCCCTGACCTTCGGACTCTGCCCAGGGCAGGGCCGCCTGATCTGGCGAAAATCCACCGAGGGAGGCAGGATTGGGGTGGGGCGGGTGCGGAGGATGTGGACGTGGAGGCGAGCGGGAACGCTGGGGGACCCGGCTCGGGGGGGGGTGCGAGCTCACGACAAATCGCCGGTAGATCGGCGACAGGCCCCCGAAAGCCAATCCGCACGCCCCCCGGGCGGGGTGGACAATCGGGCCCCCATCGGCGATCCACGGGCGATTGGGGGGTCGACGCCTTCCCCCCCTGAGCTTCTGCCCGTCCCCGTTCCCGCTGGATTTCGGGTCACCACGGGCCTCTGGCGACCGTTCGGGCAGATCTGGGCACACCCAGAACGCTCCCGGCGAGGCGCAGCTGCTGGAGAGCATCCCGAGGCTGGAAATCCGGCCAAGAACCAACGAAAACGTGCGAAAACCTCGAGGCTCGAACCTCGGAACGTCGTCCCCCCTCGAACCTCGATCCTCCCCCCTGAGCCTATCCCCTGCTGTACCCATAGGCCTCCCACATGGGGTCTGGAGGATCGCGCCGCATCGGCGGTGCCTCGGCGACGCCGGCGATGCATCGGCGACGCCGGCGTGACGAAAGTCGGGCTCCACAGCAGCATCGCCCATGCATCGGCGATGCGGCGGGATCCTCCGTCCAGGAGGCCTAGAATGTAACGTCGACCCTGTGGAGGAGCGGGGCAGGTTGCCCTCCGCGACCGAGCGGGGCCAGGGCGAGGCCGCACGGCGGCCGCGCCGCCATGGGCCCAGGGCGCCCGCCGACGAGGAGAGCCTCCAGACCACCAGCGCCCAGCTCTGGCTGGAGCCGACGGGACCTATGGGGCCCCGAAGCGTGTGAGGGGTGTGCCGAAGCGTGTGTGGCACCACCATGTGGGCGATCTCGAAAACCCGGAACACAAAAACGTGTTCATCTCTTGGAAGCCATTTTTACTTCCGCCGCCTTCCGCCAAGCTTCCGCCGGCTTCCGCCGGCGGAGGCGGCCTCGTTTTACTTCCGCCGACCTTCTGCCGCCATTCCGCCGCGGAAGAGATGATAACTCCTTCGACACTCGAAGGCGAGGCCCTTTTTGGAACGCCTCATGTGGACGGTGCCTCTGGGCCTTCGGTGGAGCTCCCTCTGGGGCCACGAAGCGTGTGAGGTTTGTGCCGATACGGGTCTGCCGAGGGCAGAGGCAGGGATGGGAGGAGGGAGGGGGCGGAGGGAGGCAAGGACGCGGGGCGCTGCCTCTTCAAAACGAGGGCCCAACACCACAGGGTGGTCAGGAAAAGCGTTCTCCAGACGGCACAAGAATCGAGGAAAATACAGTCTCGTCGCGCTACCATAGGGAACGCGAAATAAGGAACAAAGCCTGATTTCAAACCACCAGTGCCCAGCACACGCTGGAGCAGGAACCCGATCTCCCTCAGATCAGGGCGACGCATTTCTCGTACAACGGGCGTTTTCGCCCGGCTCCGGGTCCTGGAACCCTCAGAGATCTACCGGGCTCGAACAATGACGTTGAAAGATGGGGTCTAGGATTCTGGATGTGCTTTTCGTTATGTGGCATGTTTCTTGGAACGGCCGTTGACGGCAACACCACACCGCTCACCCTCCGGATCTTCGCCTCCGACTCCTGCCCAAGGCGTTCCTTTTCCTGTGCAAGCTCCTCGGCACAGCCTGCACCCTGGGCCCCGCCCTCTCCGGCCGCCTGAGGCCCCGCCCGCCTGTGCCCTGTCTCCCCAATTAGAGCTGTGCGTAGCCCGCCCAGCTTTTACCGGAAGAGGTTCGCTCTCGCCCCGCAGACCAAGCAAATGTTTCTTGGAACGCCTGCTCTGAAGATCACGCCCGTGATCCCTCTGGCCACGTCACGATGCGCGCCGGCGCCGTGGGAGGTAGCCGCGGAGGCGGAGGAGGCGGAGGCGGAGGAGGAGGAGGAGGAGGAGGAGGGGGAGGAGGAGGAGGAGGAGGAGGAGGAGGAGGAGGAGGAGGAGGAGGAGGAGGAAGGAGAGGAGTGAGGAGGGGCGAGGAGTGAGGAGAGGAGGGGAGGAGGAGGGAGGAGGAGGAGGAGTGAGGAGGAGGAGGGAGGCGGAGGAGGAGGCGGAGGGAGGAGGAGGAGGGGCCCAGACCCCTAAGCTCTCCAGTCTCTCGGGGCTCGGCGCGTGCCCCCCGGAGCATTCCAAGGCGGCGCCCCGGCGCGCCTCGGGACGCGACCGGCCCCCCTCCCGCCCCCCCTCCAACGGTCACCCCTTGCATCGCCAGGGGACAGACTTTTTTGGTCTGCGGGGCGAGAGCGAACCTCCTCCTCGCTCCTCCTCCTGCTGCCTCCTGCCTCCTCCCTCATCATACCCTACTCTCCCTCCTTCCTTCCTCCGTCCTCCTTCCTGCCTCCTCCTCCTCCTGCCTTCCCCTCCTCTCTCCTCCTCCTCCCCCTCCTTCCTCTCCTTCCTCCTCCTCCTCTCCTCATATACTCTCCACTCCTCCTCCTCTCCCTCCTCCTCCTCCTCCGCCTCCGCGGCTAACTCCCACGGCACTGGCGCGAATCGTGACGAGGCCAGAAGGAAGGGTGGGGGGGGCGGGGCCGGTCACGGGCGTTGGCTTCAGAGCAGGCGTTCCAAGAAACTTTTTTGTTGGTCTGCGGGGCGAGAGCGAACCTCTTCCGATAAAAGCTGGGCGGGCGACGCACAGCTCTAGTTGGGGAGACAGGGCACAGGCGGGCGGGGCCTCAGGCGGCCGGAGAGGGCGGGGCCCGGGGTGCAGGCGGTGCCGAGGAGCTTGCACGCCAGGGAACAAACAAACGGTCTCCAGACGGAGGCAGAACCGAAGACGGTGCATCG